ATTGAGCATGTGAAAATAGACTTAAGACGTATTTTAGATAACTTTGATAGATCGAAAATTATTTTTCTCCACGAAATATATTTAAATAAATAGGCCTAACTGTATACGAACTAAGAAATAATTTTGACAATTGCTCATATCTCCTGACATCTAAACGTTCAACCAAAACCGTATCTGTCGATATGAGTGCTCATATCCAAAAATTGATCAACTTCTGCAGTCAACTGTCAGATGGTCGCAGATTATGACTTTCAGATTCAATTTTTAATAGATTTTATGTCCTCAAAAGTTCAAAACCTTTTCTCTTATGGATACCCCAGACTGAGGACATCAACTTCACCACATTCCAGCATGTTGGATAATTTCTATATACCCTTATTCTCGAACACATAATATGTTAATGCATAATAATATTCAGAATTTTGAATTTTTTTTTTAAAATGCTTTTTTTAACTTACAGAAACACATATTCATTAACTTTGTGTAGCTATATATTTTTTAACACATAGAGAAAACCATTAAGTACTTTACTTGACGAGAGAGCCCGCACGTGGTGAGGTCTTCATATTACACATTTTGATGAATTATATGTGTGCGGTACGTCATTATATCATATGTGTTAAATAAAGTTGTGAATGACAACGAAATGGATGGAAATTCATATATTACATTTTACATGTACCAAACATGAGCTAAATTTCTTCATTTACAAGGAGACCATTTCTAAATAGTGAAAATAGTATTGTAAGTGCTATAAGGAGCAGAATTCGAAAGCTTATTTGTAACTCAGTATGGTACTATTAAACTTCACTGCTTGAGTTTCAGATATAAAACACCCTGCATTATAAACCTTATTTTAGTATCCAATATACAATTAGGTCATTTGATGTATCAGGTTTTTATCAACATCCTATAGATAAATAAACAACTAACATCAACAATAACGTTTAGTAATAAAAATAAAGAAAGAAACCTAGTCTTTATACCACAGCAATTTCTCACATGCTTTCGCCGAAAATCATTTGATGTGGCTTTTGTAAACCCATTTTAAAGATAAGGATCGCCCTCTTGGAACCCTGCTGAGAAGATATGATGTTTCTAATGACCGATGGCCTACTCAAAGAGCTATCAGTTCCAATTAAAGACTTGTGGGACTCTCAGTGGGCAGTTATTTACCGATTACAGCATCGTCTTACTCTGATAAAGACGTTTCAATATTGTCTGTGCTACTGATCGACGTTGACCAGATCTACTAAAAGTGATATCTTAACTTTCTGACCAGAGCTGCGAAAATCGTTAATCATTTCAAATTAGAATAACACTACATATACTATATAATTAGTCATCGTTGTTGATTGGTGAACTCCATTAAATGAATAAGTTATTCCTTGGAAGACAGCTGACCTGTATATTCTGATATTATTGTTTGCCCTTGACCACAATTTGTAATGTATCGTTTAGTCACATCAAACATTTTTTGTATTGATACCATACTAATATATCATACATAAGGTATCATCTTGTATAATTGTATCATCCTAAGCATAACTAGTGCAATGTTTGTTTGCCATGTTTTGGTATGATATTATAACAAGGTTTTATGCTTTGGTATGATACCGTACCAAAATGCCATATCAAATCATACATTGTTCTCATCTTATACCATCACACATTCATGCATTGTTCTTTTTTATACTTTAATACAACACTTTTGTTACATTATACCATGATATACTTCCATGATTTCCTATCTTAAAACATGATAATATGCTTTTTTTTATAATATATGTATATCATAGTATCATACTGTATTATCATACCATTTTTACTTTCTTATACCAATATATCACCCTTTTGTTTTTATCGTATTCCGTGTTCATATTTTGTTAACCTTTTTTACCATCATAGTATAATACTTTATTATCATACCATTATTGTCATCTCACACCATGGCATCATACTTTGTTACTATCTCATACCGTTATATCACACCTTGTTATTGTCTTATACATGATATCATATACTTTGTTACTATCTCATATTATTATACTTTGTAATTATTTTAAACCGTGATATCATACTTTTGTATTATCTATAAACATATCATACTTTGTTATATACCATGATGCCTTACTTTGTTTTTATTTTATAAAATATATCATCATCTGTTATTAATTTATATCATGATACCATACTTTGTCATTATTTTAAAAATGATATCATTCTTTGTTATTATCTTATACCATGATATCATACTCTGTTATTATCTTATAGTATGATAAATCATACTTTGTTATTATTCTTATTGTGAAATGATACTTTATTATTATCGTCTACCATGATATGATACTTTATTCTTATCTATGTCATCATATGATACTTTGTTACTATCTTATACCATGAAATCATATATTTTTTACTGTCTTATACCATGATATTATACTTTTTTATATTCTATTAGATTTATAATAACTTGCACAGAAAGAAATATTCTATTAAATAGAGGTGTGGTCCAATTGTCTGGCCTTTCTGCTTTATTTACAACCTTGCAATTATCATTTTACTCCTTTTATTTTCTCCACTCCATTATGTCTACTGACGATCTTTAAATCTTTGTCTTAGAGCCAAAATCTCCTCTAGTTTCATTAAGAAGTCAAGTCTTTAATGAGTTGAAGAAGAGACTGTGTGTTTATACTCTCAATATTATAAATATATTCATAATGACTGCAACCTAAGTAGATAACATCATTAAAAAATTGTAGGTTTATAGGTGCCTTCTGAAAACACTTCAAACAATCAATATAAACATTTTGGTTCATTCAGAGTCCTGTTTGCTGGAATTTATCACTCAAACCCAAAAGACCTATTAACATAAAAGACTAATCCTGGTGCTGTCAAGATTTTTATGATATTTTAAGCACTATGAAACATAATTTGGAGGTAATGACGTAACCAACTATTGATACAAAAAATTACATTTGGAAAGCCAAAATGAACGAACGAACGAATGAATGAAATGAACTGATTTCTTTAGAAAAGTAATAAGAGGATTTTTTTAGATTTTCGCTCACAAGGAGTGTATAACCGGAAACGAAATTGTGACGACAAAATTTTCGGTAATGTCGTTATTTCAAGCTTGAGATTAAAATCTTTTAAAAACAACTGTTTTAAATATTTTTACTAAGTATTTTCTTAGAAATTTGCTAGATCAAATTTCTCAATCTTTCTTGTCGCTAATAAGCGGGTGAGTTGAATTTTGTCGGATCTGGTAGTCTATGTGGAGCCAGGCACACATGTAAAGCCGAAGTAAGAGTAGACTGGTTTCCTCGCTAATTAACTCTCTGGCAGAAAACGCCACTTGTTATCTCTAAAATTTGGACGTGGATCATAACTCATGTAAAGTTATGTGTCCGCTATAATAGTCTATTATCAGGACGTGCCTTGTCTTCACTGTTAAATTTCTTTCAATTCCTGCTCTAAACAGAACTATTACATACAGTTTGACACACTACTAGTCTGGCAGTTTTAAAGGGTAACGAAGGAGTATGGAGACACAAGTTCGTCAGTCAGTTTTAATGGGACACGTTAGTCAAAAGGATAATACATAAAATTTTAAAGGGTTACAAGTTAACCAACAATTAAAAAAAACACATATAATATTTAATATTGATGTAATTTCATCATGTGGTGGTAGAGGGTATAATATATAATCTATAATGCCAGAAGATCTATGAAATTTTCAGAATATCTCATTCTAGTACCCCATATCATTCTTGTTGCCAATATTCATGTAATACAGTTTGTTGGTTGAAAGATGTAGCCTACTTCTTCAAAAACTTATGAAATACAATATATTTCTGAGCAGAGAGATTGTAGGTATAAAGTAAAAGGCGTAGCCTAATGTATGTTTAGTCCTGAAAACGACTTTCAAAATAACTTTCTAAGATTAGAGTATTAGGTTATATCTATGATATGTGCAATTTTGGCATTTTAAAAACTTATTAACACTGACCACACTCGAAAATTGCAATAACGTAGAGGACCAGCTATTTAAACTTATGAAATAAAACTAATTCTAGAAGCAGTTTGGAGAAACATGTACGTTCTCACAGTTTACGAAATACAATTTCGTATCTAATAAGAAACTGATATACATTTACAGGAATAAGAAAAAAAACGTCTAATCCCCTTATGGCATTTGATAAAGTTGGCTGGGTACAAATAGAAATCCCTAAATCCCCTGACAAAACTTTCTGGCACTCATCTCCACCCATTTCTGTTTTTCCATTGGTTAGAATCTATAATTCTGCAATTCTATTGGTGGATTCCATGTTGGCGCCTGTCAGTCAAGATCTGTTCGGCATGCCATGAGAAAAAAGAGAGTAAGTTTGGGTATCATATTGCCGTGTATTATCAAGTGTTTGTGTATGTGATGAACTATAATGAATTTTGGAATGGATTGTGTAGGTTAGAGGACATACAAAGTGTGAACAATTATCAGTACGTTTTGGTTGATTTTGGAAAAGACAGACTACAGTGACCATTGTCCGAGATCGTATATTTTGTTATACTAACGAGGGCTTTATGAATTGTTTATTGGTTGTTTGTGTTATTATCTATATTATATACTGTTAGGTTGAAGGTAGAAATAGTACCACCATTCTCCTATTCCAGTACAGGTAATCCTAACAAACACCAGACATAATTGACTTTGACTCGTACGAAAAATGATGAAGTTTTCGACAAGTATCGGGTCAGCCATAATTGTCTTAATTAAGTTGAAGAAGTAGACTTTAAACGTTTTTGATTCAATTTACAAAGATTGTAATGAATACGATAGTTTGCGATAAGCTGAGATAAAGAAGATTTTTTGTCGCGAATTTCAAATTATTTACATGTTAATGATATGATATGTTACAAATTTAAATCTAGCTTTTGATTATAATTACGAAATCGATTTAAGTGTACATTTGTGATATTGGACAGAAACCTTTGCCATGATGAGTAGCTATGCTATTGGAGCTGAGCACCAATTTGCCAGCAATTATGACAAAGTTCATGCATACCATGCTGCTTTACAGCATAACAAATCGAACTTTACTGTGAACCACTTATTGGACTTGGAAGAAATGCCAAATGAAAACTGTGCTATGTTTGCTAATACTGATCCAAGACATGCTCTGGAACATTCACCAACATGTTCTCCACCTCTACATGTAGATAAATATTCTCCTAGTACTGGATCTGGTGATGATCTTCATGATAGACATAATAACAGTAAGTTTTATTATTTTATAATTTTTAATATAGGTCTCTTTTAACGCTTTCAACTCAAAGGAGAATATCGCACCTGGTTTTTATTTTCTAAAAAAATGATTGAAACTACATATTGATCCTAATGCGAGTCATTGGATAGCCAAATAAAGCTCTGGTTTAAAGATTTATATGTATACAAAACCATTTGAACAAATATCCTGATAGGCTATCATCCGAATTATCATTATTTAAGTTTATTTCCCATTGAGAATAATGAATATCAAGAGAGCGACGATGAACTTCGAAAGTGCAATCAACACGATCTTGTTCTTTGTATTTCATTTATTTTATCATAAGAAACAACAAACTCATTTAAGAACATACAAATAAAATGAGATAGGGTTTTATTTTCTAATAAATGAATAGAAAAGCACCTTAACGTGCAATGGGCAAAAGAAATGGGTTTTTTAAGGGTCTTTTTTTTCTGAAGTTTTATCTGTAAAAAATCCCTTTTTTAAGTTCGATAGCTAACATATGTTATGCATTTTTAGAAAAGCAAATTGAATAGGATTCATATACATCGTAATATACAATCGATTCAAATCAAATTGAATGATTTCAAATCATGAAACCAATATTTTTTTTAGAGCCTGGATTTCAATTCAAATGTGAATAAAATGACAAAATGTGACTTGAAACCTAACATTTATAATCGCCTTTTTTGCTATTAAATTAATATTATTCTTCGACCCCTCTAAGTTCCTACATTGATAAATCTCAATAATTTATTTAGTCTTCTTGACATTTAAAGTCTTGCTTTTTTAATCAGCTTCATTAACCTTACTAGAAACTTTTTACTTTCATCTAAAATACCCGTTCACTCACATGGAAATAGTTTTTAAAATCAAGTGTTAAGCAAAAGTAATAAAAACAGTATATAGTTTAAGATATGGTTCCTCTTGGATGATTCAACAACTATTTGCCTAAATTAATTATCCACTTAATTCATGCCTGTTTGATTTTTAATTACTCTAAACATTTCTAATCAGTTTTCACTCAACTTTAAAATTTTACATTTGAGTAAAGAACATACATAATATATTAGTATAAATATTTGTTAAATTGATATGAACGTTAGTAAATTGAAATTTGTTATAATTTCTTATCAAATAAAGATCGGTATCACGTAACACAATTACAGTATTTGAGAATATGATTTGGAATCAGATTTCACACTATGAACTTGATTTACCAGCATAATATTGATGCAAATGCCAAATTAAGGCAATATCGAGCCCATTTGTTCACTTTTGCTGATATTCGATCGTCAAAAAGTAGGCCTCTAAACAAAATATTTGTCCTTGAGTTCCCTAGTATATGATACAGATTTGGTCAATAACCACAAAGAAAGGTTTTTAACCTTTGATTATGAGCTTTGTGGAGTCAATCGTCCAGATTTCTGATGAAAGTTATGATTTCAGTGGAAAGAACATCCCTAAATTGTTCCAGCATAATGCTTTGCGAAAAAGTAGAAGTAGGCTATGCTTTATGTTATAGAAAAATAAAAATTAATTTGACGAAAAATGAAATTTTTAATTCCATATTGATTGTATCCAGTGTAAACAGGGAAGGTTAAGTTTGTAACAAAAGTTATAAGTTTACAAACATAATGAAGATATAAACTATTAAATAGTTCAACATGTGTTCGTGTTATTTATTTAAATGGTTGAAATTATACTTGTTAAAGTAGGTAAACATTGACGAATGGAGTTTACAAGAGCTTTGCTATTAATACACGTGGTCTCATTAAAACAGTCTTCTCGACGCTACGTATAATTATAGAATATTCTTTCGTTATTAATAATGAATTTCAGAATAACACAGTAGCCAATCTCTATACTGAATATCAAAAAAACAAAGCATACTAATACTGAAAATAGATAATAACTATAAGTATATGAATATAATACACTTTATAAGACAGTCTAATTCAATAATGAATCTGAATAATGTATATTATATGATAATAATAAAAGAAAATTCTCACTGTTGAAATAGTGCTCAATATATCAATTTCAGATCGATATAGAAATATTAAAACAGAACCTAAAGAAACATGTTAAGGAACGACATAGGTTCTGTTTTAATATTTCAAGTATATATATATGATAAAGTTGAATATATTAATTGAATAACAATGATGATGATAATGAATTAAATAGAACAAACTTCTTGATGATGGAATAATAATAACAAAAAATAAACATAATGAATCTGAAAATAACAACTTTACCTTAATAATAAATTTAAATATAATTAGCATATAATATCATTAATAATGAATGAATAATGATTAATGTAAAAGAGTATGCGAATATTATACATAAACAAATACATTAAAATCTATAAAAAATGATCATATGAATGTAAGTGAATAATAAATATGAACAAAGAAAAGTCATATTACTTAAGTATCTATTACCACAAATGAATATAATAAAGAATATTGATGAAGCATTTGTGTATAAGCAAAGTAACTTATTAATAAAGAATTTAAATATAACCAACAGCTTGATAAATAATTTGTATATAACAGCACTTCGTATAAAAAATTTGAATATGATTTGAATATAACAAAATATATTGATAAAGGATTTGAGTAAAACAAAGAATGTTAAGAAAGAATTTGAATATAACAAAATATGTTAATAGGTAATTTGAATATAACAAGGTACGTTAGTGATGAATTCGAATATAACAAAGTATGTTTATAATGAATTTGAATACAACAAAGTATCTAAAATAAAACAAACAAAAACATAACAAAATACATTTAAAACGATTTTAATAAAGAATTTGAATATAACAAAGTTTATGGGTAACTTTTATTTTAGAAAAAAAACAAAACAAAAAGAACGCAAAAACTAGATAATAAAAATACTTCAAATTATTAAAATATATTTTTCTTTTGTTTTGCAATGCCACCACGTTTTTGTGTTCATTACTAATTTAAAAATGCAGAACGAAAATTACTTTGAACGTCGTAACAAATTTCTAATTTTCTACTAAATTCCATTAAATAAAAATTATCAGTTATAGTAAGAATTCCATTCTAAACCACTTAAAATCATGTATACAAGTTAAAGAATAAAATTGTTTTTATGAAAGGAACACTTTATGGAGTGTATCTAGAAACGAAATGTTCTATGCTCCTCAAGGCCAATAATGATAAGAGCTTTAGATAAGTAATTTGATAGCGTTGAAGTGTTGATAATGAAAAAGTTAATTAAAACTACAATCGTTCATCTAAATATCTCTTTCTATTATCACTATGAACGAAGAATTATCAAAGACATATTAGTCGTCTTTGAAAAAGTTGTAGACTTTGAAAATAATGGCGCGACAGTTCTAGTTTTGAAGATCTTTTGGGATAAAGCTGGAATAAAGAATTATTCATAGTTCTGTCGACGGTTACTCAGTGTGTATACTTTTCTAGATTTTCGACTTGAGACAGTTTGGCTAATTTTGATAATAATTTATGATACAATTATTAACCCTCCTGCTTATTTGCTCTAAAAACTTCAAAAGATTTATATTATGACTTCAAAAATTTATGATAAAATTCGAACCTGCTATTTTTAAGGAACTAATTGACTGGAGCTTAACTAGAGCTAACTAACTTTTACTTTTCACCATAGCAGTCTTCTGTAGTAAAAATGAGATAATTTTGGTCACAGGACATCCAAACAGAAAAATCTTGAAATGTATCCGATGATGGGAAGCACTTTCCCACCAATAACAGACAACTGCCAAACGATATTTTGCTAGCCTTCATCATGGTTATGTAATCTATTATTTTTCCACTACAGATGGGACTGACGACGAAATCAAAATTCAAAACAAAATCACACAAATTTTATCATTTACAAAGTCCTTTACATAGATTTAACTCTATAATTCTTTGTGTTAGCTCCAGGAGGCCAAATTTTAGAAGGTTTTCATGAAGATAAGATTTTTCTTTCGTTCGAACGCAGTTCAAATGTGAATGGTTTATATCCGCGATTAATGAGTCTGTAGGGAGAAAAAATCTTATCTAAAATCTGTTTAATCGCTCATTAACTACCCACTGGTTGTCAAGGACTACACACTGAGGGGAGAAATTTTAAATATACCAGATTATACAAGTTCTCACGGAACATCTTGCTTATTTTCAAAAGAAGATTTATATAAACATATTTCTATTACTGATATAAAAAAAATCTTGTAAAAACTTGAAGAATAAGCAAGTAATTGATAATTGTTGGAGAAGCATTACAGCAGGCTGCTGTGTTTATTATCAAAGAAAGCACAAAGTATTATGCTTTTTCCCATTACCTAAATACTGACATCACTTAAGTTATTCAGGATGGACCATGGATCTAAACCGCTCGAAAGGAACTAAAACCATCGAATGCTGTATTTGACGGCACAAGGCAACTGCAGTATATTTCAAAATATTCTTGTAGTAAACATCGGTCTTTATTCTAAACAAAATATTAAGAATTAATATGGTCACAATATGGAGTTTCTACATGTTTCAAAGGAATTAAATAGATTTAATTTGAAATGTTTATATAAGATTACGGAAATAGAGATTAAAATTGGTCTCTCTGAATCCTCCTTAATCCCCAAAACCCATGTTGTGAAATAAATTTCCGGAAAAAAATGTTAAAACCGAACATAATTGAAGACATAATTATATTCCCCAAAAAAGAGAATTGAAGCTAAATATACCATCGAGAATACAAAATTAACCCGGCATATTTCCAAATGTTGTCTGCTTTATTACTTATTTAAACCTATAAATTAAAGAGAATTTCTGTAATATCCAGGTTTATAACATTTTCCTTTCTTTCAGGCCCCATTATATAGTCTCGGTTTCCAGGTCAGTAGATAGTATCTTTCTCAAAAACATCTGATACGATCAATGTTAGTCCAAA